GGATTGCAATGGAATCCTTTATTAGATACTGCTACCGGATTATCTTGTACAAAACGGGCAATATTGTCTGCAGTAAGTCGTTGTTACGATCCAATTGGTTTACTTGCACCTTTTATTCTTTATTTAAAATTGTTGGTTAAGGCGTTTGAATCTCGGATGGGATGAGAGTCCACCTGAGTTAGTTGCGTCCAAGTGGTATAAAGTACGGAATGAATGGTCAGAACTCGAAAATTTTGAAGTATAACGGAGTTTGGAAGTAGAATCGGATATTCCAATTACGTTGTTAGCATTCGAAGATGCTTGTCAAGAAGGTTACGGAGCTGTGGTATATTTAAAGTTTATATCGGCCAACGGCGATCCAAAAGTTAAATTTTGCACCGATGAAGATAGTGTCAATTCCTAGATTAGAATTGTGTGCAGCAGTTTTGTTGTCAGATCTTGTAAGGCATGTTCATAACGTCTATTCGAAAAGCGTATTAATTTCTAAAATCTATGCGTTTTCAGACTCCACAACAGTTATTCAGTGGTTAGAGTCAACTCATCTTAAGGATATTTTTGTGGCAAATAGGTTGCAACATATTAAAGAACAGCTTCCTACTGCAAAATGGTGTCATATTGCAGGTGAACATAATATTGCGGATTGTCTTAGTAGAGGATTAACCCCTTCTCTGTTACTAAAGAACCCTCATTGGATATTGGGTCAAACATGGCTTCAGACTAGAGAGGAAAATTGGCCAATTAGTTTTATACAGTTAGGTTTGTTAAACCAAGAGGTGTTGGTTGCTACAGAAAATTTGGAAGATAATTCTATAATAATAATAATAATACTCTCCCTAATTCACTCCCTTACGAGTAAATTTTAACCCCAAAAGCTGAGCTTGTGCGGGGAAAAGGACGGCTATTATTATTATTTGCGTGTCTTTGTATAATCTTATAGTTGGAAGGTCTTCGTGGTTATTTATTCTGCGGACAATGGTGTATGTACTTAGATTTTGTAAATTACTATCATTTGCTAAAGTTATTTCAGCGATCGATTTAGAAAAAGCGGAACTTTTGTTAGTTAAAGTTGTTCAGAATAGATATTTCAATTCGGATATAAAATGTCTAGAAAACAAACTTCCTTGTTCATCAAGGCTCAGGAAATTACAGCTCTTTCTTCAAAAAGGTTTATTGAGGGTGGGGGGGAAGATTGTCCCAATCTTCTTTGAG